ACTAGGAAGTCCCCAAGTTTGCAGATTAAAGGCATATTCGTACCTATTTTTTAAGTCTTCGTGTTAGAACCATAGAACAGTTTCGGCTGGAAGAGACCTTCAAGATCGAGTCCAACCTCTGTCCCCGCTAACCCACATCCCTCGGCACATCCACTCGTCCCTTAAACTCCTCCAGGGATGGCGGCTCAACCCCCTCTCTGGGCAGGGAAGGTCCATTTCCTTTCTATCCAAAACCCAGAAAGAAAAATAAAAATCAACTTAAACAACCTCCTTCACCTCACCTACAATCCCCCTCTTCCCAGGGCTCACCAAACATCGGGCACATGGAGACAAGCAACTATTTTTAGAGTCGTTACATCAGAGCAAAGGGTATCCTCACACTGGGATTTCAAGTCTGAAGCCAAAGGGAATTTTTGTACCAAGTACAATAGTAGTATTTGTTTCTTCTGAAGCACTTTTTAGAAGGTCTCGCAGCACTTGATAAAGGTGATAGTTATCTTTATACCCCCAGACACTGGAACAAAGAGAGATGCAAGATCCCCACAACTATGTTAAGTGTTTAAGTTATAACATAAGCAAAGCCTACAGTTTGGCTTCCTTAACAGTTCTGGAGGCCTGATAGGATAAACAGTGGTAAAACCTATTTGCACGGTCCCATTTTGCAGCTGTTTAGCAGCAAGGAATGAGGAAAAAAAAAAAAAGAGTTGTCTGATGCAAACAATTTATCATCTAAACAATATACAAACTTGGGGGGAAAAGAGCTGGCAAAAACTGCAGGCAATGCAAGCGCAGGGTAACGAGCATGTAATTCGTTAGCTGTGCGGCTGGAACAAACAGTCAGCCTGATGAATTTAGCTTTGGTGTAACTGCTCTAGAATCCAAATGAAGGCCTCGAACCTTGTACTCCTAAATGAGACGCAGCAGCTTCAAAACCAGGCGATTGACAGGGCTCCCTCGCGAGCAACATGAGCGAGAAAAGGACCACGCTGACCGAGCGCCACTTCCACCGCGACTCCGACGCCAGGGAGCACACGGCCACCTCTTACTGGTGACACCATCTAACAAAAACTCCCAAAACCAACCTCCTCCAAACCACCACCTACAGACTGCTTGCGCAGTAGTGTCAGCCTGCGATAGCTCGGTGGAAAAAGGCATGAATTTTGGAAGGATTCACTAGGTTAGAAGCTCCCACATGCTTCTTGGTGCTTTTTGTTTTAACTGCAATATTTAACATTCCTTCATCCAGATATTTTCTGTTCAAAAGAGTCCGAGTCATTTCAAAATTTGTTCTTTTCAAGAGTAATATCCTAACAAGTTATATCCTAGTAAGTTCTAGCACAGATTGTCTAAAATTCAATTCATTGTGCCTACACAGGCACTGCAACGTGTCTGGTACAGGCTGGGATAGGCGTTTGCCTGACCCATCTTATTAAGAGTACCTCTTTTTCACCACAGACGTTGCATTTGGTTGTGATACTGTTATTCTGCACCTGCACGTGGCCTCCAGTGGCCAGCTTGTGCCATTAGTGCTTGGGTGCCTATTTCATGTTGTACGTAACAGCAAGGCTGGGTAATTACAAACCTGTTGGGCAAAACATTCTTCCATGATATTAAATTGCACCCAAATCAAGGACAGTCTCACAGCCAAACTTATTCAGAAGACTTTTTGAAACCGTGTTTTCACGGTAATTTTAGTTCCTGAGGAATTACAAAGCCCTGTACCATGTGCAGATCACCACTACTTGAGTAGCTCAGTTCATCAGGAAGAACTTCTGAAACCCCATAATGAGCTTCAGCTGTTTCATCGAAATAGCACAACGCCCATGTATGCATCCTGGGGAAAGCGTATGCAAAGCAGCCTACGAATATCCTCAGTCCTTTAGGAAAGATGAGAAGATGGAAGAGAAACGTATTTGCTTGTGCTCCCTTAAAAGTTCTCTCATTATTCATTTACAGCAAAGAACAGGGAAGTTAAAGCTCTGCGCAGTTTTGAGGTTCTTTTACACCAAGCAAATTTGGGGTTTGCTTATCTCAGCAATGGAGTTTGGAAATCAGCCTGTTTTAACTTACAAATCAGAAACTCACAAAAAGCTGAAGAAAACCTTGGGGAAAAAAAAAAATAAATAGCCATGACAGTATTTTAAATGCTTCTCTGTAAAGCAGAACAAACCTACAAACAAGCCACTTTAATCCTTCTTTGAGGATAAATAAAAACTGTGCCGCTTACTTATCACAAATAGAATTCCCCATAATTGATGAATTATGATATAGATCAGTAAGGATCCATGTGAACATACTTTGGCTGGTAAATTTACAACAGCTTTGAAATTGGAGTGTATACAAATGATACGTTATGGTGTAAAAGGGAAGGACATTTAAGATTTTATTTATCACATGCTTTCTTTTGTTTCGGTTATCAGTAAAGAAAAAAAACAAACCTCAAACTGGTTACTATAAATTTGTCTCTTTAAATAATAAGAAAATAAGTTTACAAAACACTAGACAAAATAAGTTTTCTTAATCCTTTCCTCTGGTTCTTGCATTCTTGGAATCGACAAGAAATTAAACAGAATACTGGATTTAAAATATTCCTATTAAACTACAAGAAGAGTGCACTCGTGCAATTAAAAAGCATGACAGCTGATTTTCTAATTCTTGACCTGATTTATCAGTAGGCTGAATGTTTAACACAGTAGTGAAAACTCTCCAATTGCACATCAGCCTTTTACTTCAAAAATCATTCTGATCTTGCTAATTTGTGGTTTTCTTACATGTCACTTCTCTAAAAGCTGGGACAAGAAAACATATTGCAACCTCTAAAAGGTTCACAAATAACTGGAATATCAGTAGGAGCTTTTAACAAACATTCATTACAGATTTGGGAGGTTTTTGTCCCCAGTGTGGGGGCGAAATTAGATTTTAGACTACAACCTAGTTCTGCAGAGCGAAGCAGCTTAGACAAGTCTACAGCCACCTCCGACAGCAGCTGCCGAGCTCCCTGGCTCACTGCGGCAGCGAGAAGCACGGAGCAGCAGGAGCCCCTCGGGGTGCTGCTGGGACTGACCGGTCCTGGGAACACTTTGCGTACTCCCGAGCAGCATGAAGCTGGGATTAGGAACGCGTCCCTCCCAGCCTGGCCAGTGCAGAGCTGGAGCACGGCCGCACTGCTCCTGCAACCACGTCTGCAGGGCAGGAACGACTTGGTGGTTCCACACTGGCTCCGTGTGACAGCCGAGCCCAAACCCACCCTGAGCTGCTGGTTCTGCCTGCGCCCCGCGGAGGGTCAGCAGCCCGCGGGGAACCCCGTTCCTGATGGGATGCTCCCTGCGGCCAGCACGCCGCGCGCACACCGACCTGCATTTCCAGCAGCTTGCCTGGGCCCGGTGCTGCCGACACCCAGCAGCCCCGCAGCACCCAGGGAAAGGCACGGCACGTGCACGGATCTCAGCGGCTGCTGCAGGGGCAAACAAAGCCTGACCAAGACAGCTGCAACAAGTCCCAGACTGATTCTGAAACCAATGATCCTTACAGGCTGCTCCACCAGTCTTCAGAACGAGCTGCTTGGCAGCATGTTCATGTTGGCAAGACCTAATAGGATAAAATTCGTCAGGTCGCAAGAGAGGACGGTAAAAGGAACAAAAGGATATTTCAGACGCTGCAGCAAGGTATTTGTTCTTCTGTCAGCAGTGCACGGCCTCTTTTACTGGTACAATTTTCCAAAGTGCAACATTATCCATCAGAAAAAAAAAAAAAATCTGAACTCCGCGAATGTTTGTCTTTACCTGAACTAAAGCCTTTGCAGAAAAGATTCAATGAGAGAGAAACTCAGAATGTCAGGGCAACTCCAAAAGCACGCTCATCTTAATGAGCCAGTCTGACTCTGGGCAAAGGCAGGTGCAACCCCAGATAAAGTGCCTGGGGAGAACTACGCTGGCTACGGATTCAGATTCACGTGGGGAGCCTGCCCTCAGGGAGGAAACACGTAAGAGAAGCCCACAGTCTGGCCAGCAACAGCAAACCTCTCCTTGAATGCCAGCTCGAAGCTATCAGAACGTTCACAAAACACTGAAGAGTGTGTTTGTTTTATTCAGTCTAGTTTGAGCGATCTAAAATCCAGCACTGCCCCACACTGCTGTTCTGCACTATAAACTTCAGAACTGCATGGCAGCCCCTCAGTCTCTGCCCAAGTGAAGAGC